TAATATGAACAAAATAAAGGATAATTCGTCGATTCTAAAAAAAGAAAGAAAAATCACTGTTCCAGTGTTTCCACGGTCAATGCCACTAATGCCAGTAGTAATATCGAAACTAATACTACTAATGCTACGACTGATCCGCGACCAATGCCCATACCACTAAAGCCGCTACTAATGCCAAATTGTGCTATACTGCTAATGGCACTAATGCGATCGCTTTGTAAACAACAATGCTATCGAGGTTTACACTTCGCATTAGTATATCACTGATTTGCAAATTAGAGGAAACCAAGAATGTTTTTTCTCATTTTATCAGCTAAGTCGCAAAAAGTCGCAGTATTTTATTTTACTGTATGAAAGTCCAATGTTTACTAAGTAAAACGTATACCTATAGCCAATATGCTGAATTCTTCGAAATGCGCAACTAAATCTCTAAGTATAATAAAAATGTCACAAATTTAATCAAATTTTCTGAACGCCTAACTTTTAGTTGCAAAAAAAAATCGTTAGTATAGAGAATATCAAAATGAATAATATGTTTTTGTAGAATACATACCTGCAGCTTGCTGAGCCATTTTTAATCAAAACAATAATATAAACGTAAAAGGTGCACAAGAACAACAACAATTTATAATCTTAAACATAAAATTTAGCCATTTACCTCTTATCTGTGAGAAGTAACAACTTTGACGTTTCGTTGAAACAAATGAATGCAACTAAACAGACCCATAGCAACGCCATTCATGGCAGACATGATTTAACTTATCATTTATCTTTTTTTGGTAAATCTTAAACACATTTGCTTTTTCGAATTTCGATCACCTTTTTCATGCTTATACTCCACCGTGCACCGGGTCGGCATGAGCCAATCATAATAATTGTAATAAAAATATCACACATTTGCCATCCAAAACATCGGCCGGCGCGGCGCGCGGCGTCAAGTCAACATTTTAAACATAAACATATTGATAACAACTAGACCTACGTCGTAAGGAATACTTCAGTATGGAGTTTCAAGTCCTCAGTTCGTGCATTTCCAGGGATTACGATAACTGCCAGCGCAAAAGTAACGAATTAGCTTAGTAACGAGTAACGAGTCCTAAATTCAAACGGTAAGCGTTACTTCGAGTCCTCGTAAAATAACTGTTACTTTGTAACGATTATTTAAAATTTTTACATCAATAATACTGATAATTTCTGATATCTGCTGTTGCAGCCCTGCGGTCGAAATTTATTGAAATCAACAGAAATCCACCAAGCCTATAATAAATCCAAAAAAAGTGGATATTTTAACCCCTGTAACTCGAAACAAAGCACTTGTTTTTTGAAATATCCTGTATACATTTATATCAAAATATATAAAAATGTACATTTGTACTGATTAAAGATCTTAAATCAATAGCAGATAATATTGCACAACAATCAAATGTATACAGAAAAGATATGCCATTGAGATAATTTAAAAGCGGCTTTTAAGTGGATTCTTATTTGTCGGTTATTGTTTTTTAAGTCTGGGTTCTAATAATATTAAAAGAAAGTATATTTATCCCTATCTTTATTAAATAATACCATACTCTACAGCGTGTACTAAAATATTTTTCGTCCTCGTTATAAATCGTTCATCCTTAACTACTTTGTCCAAAATTATTTTCCATTGTCCTCGAATTCCATTTTCATCTAAACTTTGACCGTCTTCGCCAAGCTTTTGGGCTGCATCTTTAGGAATGAGCTTCAGTTCCCACAAAAAAACACCCATGAAAACGCCCAGCATCGAATAAGTTTTCCATTCGTCTTTCAACACATTCAAAGGTAACAAATCGTCGCCACGAAATCCTAGTTCCTGAGAAAATTGTGAAAAACTCTCGTGGTATATTTCTAAGTATTCATCCAGTTTGTCGAAATCTTCTTTCGCAGCTCCCGAATAAAAGAAATAGGACAGGTCGTGTATAGGAGTTGTTTTTCTGGTTAATTGGAAGTCTACAAGTTTTACATCGTCTAGTTCTCCAGATTTCTGAAAATAAAAATATGAAAAATTATTCCAAATAATTCCAACTAAAATTTCTGATATTTTTATTGTTTTTTTTTATTATAACTTCGATAAAAATTGGCGCGATTTTTAAATTCATTGTTGCCAACCATGGACATATGGCGCCGGGCTGACTAACTGAAATTTAAATTTTTCGCTGGGGATTCAGGCGGTAGCACTGCTGTAAAAAATGTCAAGTTGTCACATATAATATCACAAGAGCTTAAATTATTTTCGGAAATTTTTTCGGCATACAATATTTATGAAAATTATCCTCGAAGGCGAGGATAATTTTCTAAAATATTGGTGCCTTGGCATTAGCAGGAATAAAATAAGCTTGCGTTTATTCGGTAAGAAAATTTCTAAAGTGTGAATTTTAATTTTTGGTTTAATTTTGACGTTAGTAATAACAGCTGATAAATAGTCATCCTATGTTACCATGTTGATCGCTCCGTAAAAGGTACAAATATCCCGAAATAATATTTATGTTTGAATAAAATATTTGTACATATATCTACCGTATGATACAAAAACCGGCGTCCAGTTGGATGGGAAAATGACGATTGATGGCATTTCCTATATAAATTACATATAAAATGGCACCGACCTTCATTTCATGGTCGCTGATGCCATTCCTTTTCGATAATACGGTACTATAAAAAACTATTTATATTTTTTTTCTTTTTCAATTTTCTTTGACTTTTTTATTATATTTTAAGTTTTTAAAATCTTGGTTTTAAGTCAGTAGTGAATAAAACGAAACTTGTGTTTACATTTTGTTTAATGATTGACGTTTCGACTAATTTTAATTCGGTCTTCTTTAGAATCTATAATATACAATACAATTTTACCACTAACAATGTGTTTGTTGACTATTTTTCATGTCTAGCTTTGTTTTTAAAGAACAAATTAAACCCTTTGGAGTTATACCAAATTTGTTAAAATCGGTCAAGCTAAGAGTTAAGTAGTATATTTTATCCCCATCTTCCACTCTATTTCACTAATTTTATGTGGTTTGTTAAGATCTAAATATATTAATGTGTGTTTGGTTAAGATCTAAATAATATCAATTTCCATCATAAAGCATAAAATATAAAAAGTTGCATAAAAATATAAATAGTAATAATACTTTATAATTTTTTGAAATGACGAATGAATTTGACTAAATTTGAATAAACTTCTCCTCGTCTATGCTCAAATTTATGCTGGTGACGTACTCTCGACCGTCGATCGTGCGACTCCAGTGCGCGGCTACCTTCGACTTTCCGACCGGTCGTGCTGCTCGCGCCGCTCGCTCTCGCCGATACCTATTCAGTGCGCGCGGAGCTTAACTTTGTCGCGTTTTGACTTATCTCCGATTGTCCTCGCCTATTTCGGTTTGTTTTGACCTACTTTCATTAACAAATTTTGTTAAAAGCGCCTCGAAACTACTCGTGAAATTACGGAACAGGGTGTGGGAGGACTTTTTTAGCGTTTCCTGTTGCCTCGTTCAATTTTGTTTACTCCATTACAAACTAATGATATTTATTCATACTCCACGAAGCTTCGCGAAATGTTTCACGAAATATTTCTAGAAATATTTCGTGAAACATTTTCCAAATTCTATAGGTGCCTTTCGCACCACACCGGTGGAGAGTCTGTATGCCTTATCTGGATATTCTTCCTTGTATCACAGGAGAATTCTCCATACTCTTAATTATGGAATATTCATTAAGTCAAAGCCTTTTTTGATTGACTATGGCAAGTTCTTCGACTTACAAGACAGTGAAACGTATACCGTTCATCCAAAATACCAACGCCCAATAATATAAGATACCACCTATTTTCCTCCCAACAAAACAATCCTAATATCCCTGTATTCCACTTTTTCCGACACACTGTCCCCTCCATGGAAGGATCCTATTTCAGTTAATATTGAACTTTGTAAATTAAAAAAATCTGAAACATCCAGATCTCTTTACAAAACTAGTCTAATACAAACTTTAGACGAAAAATATCGTGACTATATTTGTTTTTACAGAGATGGCTCGAAATCTGACGAAGGTGTTGGCTGTGCCTTTTACAGCCCGGTTGCTAATAAAAAAGTCAGATTACCTAATTTCTCTGGCATTTTAACAGCCGAACTCACAGCTATTTATCAGGCTCTTATACAAATTCGGAGCATGCCACCGATTGAAGCATTAATACTATCTGATTCACTTAATTCCCTCAACAGTATTGCTTCTTTAAACCCCAAAACCTCTCTAACTTGCAGCATTCGAGATCTAGTATATAAACTTACTGAAAGAAACTAAAATGTTAACTTTATGTGGATTCCTAGACACTCTGACATTGCTGGTAACGATCGAGCAGACAAACTGGCTACGAGGCAACGCTCTTACAGAATATTGAAGGAACTCCATCCGTTGTCGATTTCAGAAATTTCCATAAAAAAGTGTTCTTCAGTATACTTCAAAATGAATGGGACATCCTCGAGGGAACTAATAAACTTAGATCACTTCTTCATCTGTATCAAAATATATATTCTCTTGAACGCGGATCTTTCTGTAAAGTTGTTAGAACCCTCACAGGACACTCATATCATACCAAATCATATATTATCAGATATGAACCCCCTCCGAAATGCACCTTATGCAATAACTTAATGTCAATGAGACACATTCTTTTTGAATGCTTACCTGTTGCCTCCCAGAGGTCTAGATTCTTTAATGGTGTTACCTATGAGAATATTTTCGCGCCTTTTAATATTTCGAAGATTAATAAAGTTATGGAATTCTTGGACAGCATCAACTTAAAATAATTTAAAAAAAAAACTCATATTAAATAAAGCTTATTATTGAGCGCTAAAAAACCCCGCTATTGACGGGCTCTATAAATCAATTCATCTCTCTCTCTCTCTCTCTCCAAATTCTATATTTTTTATAACCTTAGAGAAGGATTAAGACTGGGTTCTAATAATATTAAAGAGGAGTACATATATTTATCACTATCTTTATTAAATAATACCATACTCTACAGCGTGTAATAAAATATCTTTCGTCCTCGTTTTAAATCGTTCATCTTTAAATACTTTTTCCAAAACCACCCTCCATTTTTCTCGAATCTGAGTTTCGTCCAAACTTTGATTGTTTTCGCCGATATTTTTGGCATCACCTTTAGGAATGAGCTTCAATTCCCACAAAAAAATACCCATGAAAACGCCCAGCATCGAATATGTTTTCCATTCGTCTTTCAACACATTCAAAGGCAACAAATCGTCGCCACGAAATCCTAGTTCCTGGGAAAATTGTGAAAAACTCTCGTGGTATATTTCTAAATATTCATCCAGTTTGTCGAAATCTTCTTTTGAAGCTCCCGAATAAAAGAAATAGGACAGGTCATGGATAGGAGTTGTCTTTCTGGTTAATTGAAAGTCTACAAGTTTCACATCGTCTAGTTCTCCAGATTCCTGAAAATAAATGTATGAAAATATTCAAAATAATTCCATACAAAATTTCTGATATTTTCATTGTTTTTTTTATTATACAGGGTGGTACGAACTGTATTCCGGAAACTTCGGCAGCATATTCTGTAGATAAAAATAAGTAAAGAAGTTCGTATAAATGTATGTCCTAAAATGCTTAGTTTTGGAGATATTTATTTCGATTTTTTCCGAATAATTTATGAAATAACGTCAATATTTGGATGAAAATTGGTATTTGGGAGTTTCCTGACATGAGAACTTTGGTTTTGATGGAAAATATGACTCCTGCGTGTAGGGGGCGCCACCTATATATTTTTTAACTGGTTTGAAGAGTAATAACTTTTCGTCCGTACCTGTATAAAACTACCGGGTAAAATAATATACATTTATGACGTTTTTTACGTAAAAAAGGTCTCTTGGTAAAAATCGCTACGAGTAATGGTTTTCGAGATATTTCGAATCGAAATTATCAATACCTGTCATCATTAACATAAATTAAACATATGTCATATGTTGACTAAATAGTTATTAGACTGCAATCATAAATTGTGCCAAAAGTTCAATAGAAACTGTTTTATCATTATTGTTTCGCAGAAAAATTGATATTGGTATTTACTTCTCAGTTTCAAGTCATAGGCGCTTATGTTATATTATCGTGAACAAGACAGTCTTATAGACCTCTACACTATTCGGAGAATAGTACAAAGCAGGTCAAGGTCACGTTTCGTTGCCTAAAGCTCCGCGCGCACTGAATAGGTATCGGCGAGAGCGAGCGACACGTAATTTTCAGTTCACACGTTGAAATAAATGTAAGCCCGCGCACCGCATTAGATCGGTGCGCTCGGTGCGCTTCGAGCTATCGGCGGTACTCGCGCCATCAGGCGAAATCAGAGAATGCATGGGAGGGGGCGAATAGTCTACGCCGAGCGACTGTTTTTAGTGGAGCGGTTTTACATTAAACATGTCCGATGAATTATTAATCGTATAAAACTACCGGGTAAAATAATATACATTTATGACGTTTTTTACGTAAAAAAGGTCTCTTGGTAAAAATCGCTACGAGTAATGGTTTTCGAGATATTTCGAATCGAAATTATCAATACCTGTCATCATTAACATAAATTAAACATATGTCATATGTTGACTAAATAGTTATTAGACTGCAATCATAAATAGTGCCAAAAGTTCAATAGAAACTGTTTTATCATTATTGTTTCGCAGAAAAATTGATGATTAATTTAAAAAAATAAGAATTTTCCAAATTTATTATTTCAGTCAAATAATAACTATCTACTCAACGTGTTTATTTATTGTAAGTATTGACTATTTCCATTCTAAATATCTTGAGAACGGTTGCTCGTAGCGATTTTTACCAAGAGACATTTTTAACGTAGAAAATCACGGAAATGTTAATTTTTGCTCACTAGTTTTATACAGGTACGGACGAAAAGTTATTACTCTTCAAAACAGTTAAGACACATGTAGGTGGCGCCCCCTACAAATAGGAGTCATATTGACATCAAAATCAAATTTTTCATGTCAAAAAATTCCAAGAAACCTATTTTTATCCAAATATTGACGTTACTTCAGAAATTATTTGGAAAAAAACCAAATTAAAAAAGAAAACTTCTACACCCTGTATCTACGAAACTAAGCATTTTAGGACATACGTTTATACAAACTTTTTTGCTTATTTTTATCTGCAGAAGATGCTGCCGAAGTTTCCGTAATACAGTTCGGACCACCCTGTATATTCGATACCATTAAAATTAATTAAGCTTTTAGTTACGTAATCCAGGGCGCGATTTTTCAAATTCATTGTTGCCAACCATGGACATATTCGGCGCCGCACTGTGGTCAATTTTGCCGGAAATTAGCCGGAAAAAAATATTAGTGAAAATTACAGGTCGTATACAGGGTGAATAGTAATTAAAAACTTGGAAAAGTTTCGTTATTTTTTATTTTAAATATATTTTGGTCGCGATCATTTTCATATGTTAAATATTTAAAAATTATCATTTTATAAGAATAATACTATGGATCTTACAGATTTTGCTAACAGTTGCTTTTAAAAAGTCAACAACCTCCAAGCGTTTAGTATGGGCAATACCTAAAAAATGGCCTGGACTTAACAGACGGACTAGGACGGCAAATTTGTAGGTTTGGTAAAGTTGTCTAATGGTTTAACTATCAACTTAACTTTATTTAAAACTGAAACCTTATAAGACTTTTTTCTGCTAGTTCATTAAAAAAATGTATATTCTAATAATTTAAAAAAAAATCTAACCATATCAAAATTATTTACTCATATTTAATATTCAACAGAAGAACATTAATGTCAAAAAACTTACCATCAACAATTGCTCTTTCTATTTTAGATAGTATTAATGACATATAACTTTTTGCACGGAATCCGCAAATTAAAAACTTTATTCATGTGCAAATAACAAGATTATTTAGTTTAATTTGTCAACTATACTACATTTTCAATCAAAATAACAGTAAATTCGCAACGACCTTTGACATATTTGTTAATGAAATGTTCTTAGCAACTATTTCAAAGCCTACTTATGGAGTTTTTGACGCCGCTTAGCTTCATCATATTTTTTAATATTTTCCTGTTAATTTTTAAAAATTTTCCACAGTGCGTTTCCTGACATTGTCATTCGTTTTTACACTTCAGTTTTGTATTACGAGTGAGTACAGAAGAATGGGTTGGCACAAGGGAGCGTGCTGGCACCAATTCTTTTCAACATATATACAAATGACCAACCTATTCCAATTAACACTAGAACCTTTGCATATGCAGATGACCTAGCAATAACAGTTGAAGGCAAAAAGTTCGAAGATATCGAGGAGAAACTAGAAAGCGCCCTAAAAACAATGTCAACCTATTACAAAAAGAATTCTTTAAAACCCAACCCCACCAAAACTAAAGTGAGTGCATTCCACCTTAATTCGAGACAGGCGACCCGCAGACTTAATGTTACATGGGACTACTAGAACACACAGATAAGCCTACCTATCTTGGCGTCGTGCTGGACAGAACATTGACTTACAAATATCACTTCGAAAAAACACACAAAAAAGTAGAAGCACGAAATTCCCTTATAAGGAAGCTGACCAATAGTAAATGGGGAGCCAAACCTACCGTGGTCAGAACTTCTGCTCAAGCTCTGTGTTTTTCAACTGCAGAATATGCCTGCCCGGTGTGGTGTAGATCTGTCCATGCAAAAAAGGTGAACATCAGTCTGAATGAAACATGCAGAATAGTGACAGGTTGTATGAAACCCTCCCCCTTAGAAAACCTTTACAAGGCCGCAGGTTTTACAAGCCCCGATTTACGCAGAAAAGCTCATGAACATACTGAGAAGTTAAAACAAACCTTTGATGCTCGTCACTCAATTTTTGGCCAAGAGTGCTGCACAGGAAGACGCTGTTTCCTAGGCCACCCACTGGATGAACCTCCCTCCCACTACCCCCTTAGAGAGGACCCACCAAATGGTGTTTCTAGCGACTGGAAAACCTGGAGAATGCTCAACCGAATCAGAACTGGGGTGGCCCCAGTAAAATCCAATTTGATCAAATGGGGTTTGCTGGACAGAAATGACGACAAAAGCGACTGCGGCGCCTTTCAGAACATGGAACATCTTCTTCAATGTCCTGCGTGCCCCCACAGATGTACCCTCGATGACCTATGGCTGGCTAAACGGGAAGCATTGGACGTAGCCCGTTACTGGATTAATAAACTATAATATAATCCGGATACGAAAAAGTAAAAGTAAGTGTATTACGAGTGTTGTGATACTTTAAGCTTAAATATGTTTACTAGCAGACCTTGCAGTCGAACATTGTTCTTTTTAGAAGTTCTGTTAGTGCGAAGTGGGGTACAAGATAGCTTAATAGTTACTTTACTTAATAGCCGTAAAAACTCATCGCAACTTTATTAGAATATTTTAAAGGGGAATGGGGTGGTATGGCTCTTTATGTCCCTCAAGTGTTCATGTAAATGAATAAATGATGAAACTGTTTATATATTAGTAAAAAAATTATTTTTGTTTCCAAAAATATTTTGATTAAAAGACAATATGTAAAAGTGATTAATGCTGTACCGGTCAAGCTTAATCACGTGACTAAAAGTTTATTTGATATGAACTACAAATTTACACAAAAGTACTCACGTTGTACTTAAACAGCATGTTGTTTGACCAGCAATCTCCGTGTATAATGCAGGAATGCTTTCCGTTATAACGAGAGCATTTATCATAAACTTCTTTCATATTCTCCACAACGTACGAGACTTTTTTAAAAATCACCTCCTTGCCTTCAGACTCCAGATTTGCCACCGCTTTTTCAAAAGGTTTCTTCATATCATGTAATACTTTTTCAGGTATGTTGGTGAATGTAACAAAAATGTTCTCTTGTACCTTTTGTACCGCTTTTGAAGGCCTCCGGTAAACTTTTCTCTATAGAAAAAGAAACAGCATGAAATTTACCGTATAGTTTAAAAATTGACCTTAAATGTTCCGCGTTGAAACATTTCGTTTTGTCATACAGCTCATAACCGAGATTTTTTACATGATCCATAGCTATATATTCTTTTTTCGGTTCCATACTGCCACAAATATATCCAGGAACGTTATCAAGAACTTTAACGACGTTTCGTTTTAGCTGAAAGTCTCTCATCATCGGAAATATCGATTCGTAAAAAAGTTTTTCGTTATTAAACAAAGATGTTACGGTCTGTTGATTTTCTGGGCATTTTTTGATAGCTATATGAAAATTTTCACCGGTTTCTCTATTTTTTACTTGTCCGGTGTAAAATTGCGACATAAATCCATCTCCGTAACTTCTATCGACATCAGGAATCAACTCGAAATCTTTGATTTTCTTCACTTTGGCCACCTCCGTTAATATTTCTGACAATTGCTCTTTTAATTTGTCTTTATCACCCATTTTTATGATATTTTAACACTGTACAATACACCTTTACAAATACTGAATAATATTGCACAATACAATCAAATTTAAGTAGAGAATGTTAGGAATGGTTTTCAAAAAAAAATTCTATTATAATTCTTTAAAAGCAGACTTTTAAGTACAAGCTTATCTGGTGGTTAATAAAGTTATTGTTTTCTAAAAATTAAAAATATAAAAAAAATTGTGTTAGGTTTTTTGCTATCTAAAGTACCACTTAAACAGATACAAAAATAAACTTTTATCTCAGTACAAACTTTCTCACACAGATTAAATATATTTGTCAGACAAATCCTTGAATAAAACGTTAAGTCCTTAAAACGTAACATCCTTTATCATACTATTATTTTTCAATAAATTTTTCAAAGTCACCGGCGTTAATTTTATATCATCATGAATATGGCAATTTTACAATAGTTGTATCGCGGGTTCTAGTACAGAAGGTTGACAGTGCAGTTTGTTTAGTTTTCTAGGTAAAGATAACGAAGAATGGCCCAAAAGAACAGAGAAGATGAGATAAACACCATTTTAAAACAAGTTGCGGATAATACTGGTATCACAAATTACGAATTAAATGCAGAAACAAATGTTGAAACTGGTGATGGATTCGTCAGCGAGTTCTATACAGGTAGGGATGTTACTATTTAAAAAAATATCGATATTTTTAAAACTCATACTTAATAGTTCAAGAAAATATTGTCTAAAATTGTCTAAAAATGTGCTACAATACGGATATAATATAATCCTTTATCTTTAATTTCCTTCTTTATTTGTGTAAAAATGCCTAGCCAGTTTTACATACGAGCCTTAACAACTAAATGTTCGGACAAACAAAAATTTATTAAAAACTTTTATTTTCATTAACTGAATTATTTACATTTAAGAAATACATTAAAAATATATTAAAATCTATTTCTAATGAGTATTTAAATAGTTTAGTTTCTATAAACATTAAAATAAACTCTAGGCCAATAAATAAACAAAAAGATTGCACAATATCGTGACAACTAAAATTCGGACATTTAAAAAATAACTGTTCCAATATGGCGTTACATCGGCATGAACTTTTGCAACCACTGCAAGCCTGTTTGGCATTGTTTTTATTAATGATTGACATACGCCAGAATAAACATTTTGCCATAATTCACTTAATATCATCGTCAAATGGGCAACGGTTTCTTAGGATCGTAGCACAAATTTTGTTTTGTTTTATGCCACATGTCTCGATAACATTAAGGTCCGGGGACTATGCGAAGGCCATGAGGGAACCTTGATGTTCATGTCCCTAAACCATTTTTAGTAGTTTTAGCTGTATGGCATGCCCCGCCATCCTGTTGAAATATAAAATTATTGTCCTGGTCTTTACCAGAACAATTGGTTACAAGGACCTACTTTGTCCTTCCCACTTAACACAAGAATATTTTTCAAATTTTTTTGATTTTTTGACGCATCAATTATGCCTTCTACCACCTCTTACTTTTCTGGGCCCCCCTATTTTGGACATAAACTTTCAAATCATTATGCCTTTAGGAAATTTCACTGTCCTTTTGAGGCAATTTTTGTCAAATATACACTCTAGCGGTGTTTGATTATATTCATTACATCGATATTAAGGTGTGGCTCATGTGCACATTTAATCCGTGCACTTGCCATTTGCGATTGGAATTATTAGCGTCGGATTGGGAAATAATTAAATTTTTTACCTTGATGTCATTTTTGTAGTTTGTGACATCAGAAATTCCAATCCGACGCTGATAATTCTAATCGCAAACTGCAAGTTCAAAGATGGACAGTGGAATTTTCTAAAGACATTATGCTTTTAAAGTTTATATCTGCAATGGGTCTAGGTAGGTATGAGGTGGTGGAAAGGCACAACTAATGTGTCAAAATATCAAGAAATTTTGAAAAACAGTTTTGTGCCAAGTGCGAGAGACCTTTACAAGGATATGAATTTTATATTTCAACAGGATGGCGGGGCATGCCATACGGCTAAAACTACTAAAAAATGTTTAAGGAACATGAACATCAAGGTCCCCTCATGGCCTTCGAACAGTCCGGACCTTAATGTTATCGAGATATGTGGCATAAAACAAAACAAAAATTGGTGCCACGATCCCCAAGAAACCGTTGCCCATTTGACGATGATATTAAGTGAATTATGGCAAAATTTTTACTCTGGCGTATGTCAATCATTAATAAAAACAATGCAAAACAGGCTTTCAGTGGTTGAAAAAGTACATGCCGATGTAACGCCATATTAGAACAGTTATTTTTTAAAGTGTCCGAACATTTAGTTGTCACGATATTGTGCAATATTTTTGTTTATTTATTGGCCTACAGTTTATTTTAATGTTTATAGAAACAAAACTATTTAAATACTTATTAGAAATGTTAGATTTTAATATATTTCTAATGTATTTCTTAAATGTAAATAATTCAGCTAATGAAAATAAAAGTTTTTAAAAAATTTTTGTTTGTCCGAACAATTAGTTGTTAGGGCTCGTAAAACGTTAAATGCCGAACGCTTATTTTGCTACTTTGTCTTATTGTTTTACTTCTACTTGTCTTAGGTCAGCTTCCGAAAAACGACTCAAGTCATTAAAATGATTTAAATCACAAAAAGCAGCTTCAGCACGCTTAATACGTTTTTTTCCTATATACAGGGTCCGTCAAAAACAAGAACAACAATGAGATGATCCACGTGGCTATAAAGAAAGCCCCAACTGTCATCCCCGCATACGGCGCCAGCCTGTTTAAAAACGAAAACATATTTTACCGCAGTATTTTTCCAAGTTTGGATAAATTTCAAGAAGAATTTTGTTTAAAGGTTTTCGATAATATTCCAGTATACTACGGCGGAAGTTTGGAACCGGAAAAATTATATATTTGCATGGAAAATTTGAAGCTAAAAAACTACGAAATGCACGATAAAATGGAATATTTAAACCAGGCACATTTGGAGTATGTTTTCAGAACGTATGGGCGATTTCATGCACTGTCTTTCGTTTTTAAGAGTCAGAATCCCGAAAGTTATGAAGATGGAACAAAAAACATCATTGATACGTTCGAAGAAATAGTTGAAGGGATTTCGGGGGCCACGAAATATGGCTTGACGGTTATGTCAAATTATTTTGAATCGCAAGCCGATAAGAAACTTTACGAAAAAACTAAAACCTTAACTGAAAATATAACTGATTATTATCGTAAAGCTCTAAAATACGAAGGGCGTCACAGTTGTTTTACTCATGGCGATTGTTGGTCAAACAACTTCCTTTTTAAATATTCGGTAAGTTAGTTATTCGGTTGATTATATTATACCGGGTAGTGCATTGTCACTGAAAACATGCAATCCATGTAAAGGTTGATTCTCACTATACCTTCCGTTTACATAAAAAATTATATCATGTAAATGAATAGGACAAAGCACACTATCCGTTCCGTTTCTCTTCCGTTCCATATCCTTTTCTTTCTTACATATTTTTGGCGGACGGGCTGAAGCGTATCGGAAACAGCGTTATCAAGTTCTGACATTTGTACCAGCTCTGTTAAAATTTTGGGTATATTTATTCATTCTTTCAACTCTTAATTAAACGACAACAAGTAACGTCAATATTTGGATGAAAATTGGTGCTTAGGAGTTTTTTGATATGAGAAATTTGATTTTGATGTCAATATGACTCCTACTTGTAGAGGGCGCCACCTACATATTTTTTAACTGGTTTGAAGAGTAATAACTTTTCGTCCGTACCTGTATAAAATTACTGAGTAAAAAAATATACATTTACAAAGCTTTTTACGTAAAAAATGTCTCTTGGTAAAAATTGCTACCGAGTAATGGTTCTTGAGATATTTGAAATCGAAATTATCAATACCTATCATCATTGACATAAATTAAACATGTTGACTGAATAATTATTAGACCGAAATCATAAATTTGAAATGTTTTTGTGCCAAAACTTCAACAGAAACTGTTTTATCATCATTTTTTCGCAGAAAACTTTATGATTAATTTAAAAAAATAAAAATTTCCCAAATTTGTTATTTCAGTCAAGTAACTACCTACTCAACGTGTTTATTTTCTGTCAATAATGACATGTATTGACTATTTTCATTCTAAATATCTTGAGAACGGTTGCTCGGAGCGATTTTTACCAAGAGACATTTTTTACGTAAAAAATCTCGGAAATGTATATTTTTTCACTCCATAATTTTATACAGGTGCGGACGAAAAGTTATTACTCTTCAAAAACATTAAAACACATGTAGGTGGCGCCCTCTACAAGTAGGAGTCATATTGACATCAAAATCAAATTTCTCAAGTCAAAAACTCCCAGACACCAATTTTCATCCAAATATTGACCTTACTTCATAAATTATTTGAAAAAAAAGAAAATTCTACACCCCGTATCTCCGAAACTAAGCATTTTAGGACATACATTTATACGAACTTTTTTAATTATTTTTATCTGCAGGATCTGCCGAAGTTTCCGGAATACAGTTCGGACCACTCGGTATATTATATTTCAGAAATCTGCATAAGGCTTAGCCCGATCCTGTCGTGTTAAGTCACATCCAAAATTCCAAACACACGTGCATTGATTAAGGCTTGATTAAGGTTTGCAGAGCTCTTGCCATAGAATAACGAGCAATTTATTACAAAACCATATAAATTATATATTACTGTAATCACAAACACAAAGCTTCAATCTATTTCCGTATAGTAACGGAATTTTAAATTATGTCTTTATTTTCGAGAAAATTTAGTCCAACTATAAGGAATATTTTGTTGATGTTTGACCATCAAAATCTTAAAAATAAAGAATTTGTCTAAGAAAGTGCTACAATACGGATATAATATAATCCTTTATCTTTAATTTTCTTCTTCTGCATCTCGATGCGTCTCGAGGACACTAACCGTATAAGAGCCAATATTTGAACATTTCTAAATTTACATGGGGTTTTGTATATTTCCAAAGCAGATGCATCACCCAGTATAAGATTTATAAATAATAATTTACATCCATTTAAGTATGCGTAAGAGTGCTATTTTTTAGAATACTGGAGAAATAGAAGACATAAAGCTTGTGGATTTCCAGCTTTGTAGAGATAGTACTCCCATACACGACTTATCTTACTTTTTCTATTCTGGAGCTTCCAAGCCCGATTTCGACAACCTTGATTATTACTTAGAATTATACCACAAGGCCTTTGTTGAATGCGCCAAAGAATTCGACTGTAATGGAGAGGAGTTATATCCAATAAAGGTTCTGAAAGAAGAATGGAAAACATACAGTTTATTAGGAATCCTCATGGCCATCATGTTATGGCAAATTAAACTGACCGACAAGAAGAAATGTCAAGAATTTACGGAGAGTGAAAATAAGGAGGAAAACTGGAAATCTATTATGAGTAAAATGCTAGAAAGCGACGCGTATAAAAAACGGGTTGAAAATATAATACGTCATGCAATAAATAATGATATTATTTAGTTTGTATGTTTTATTTCAATGTTTTCTAATTTTTAAATAAATATAGTTTTTAAACATTAATTTAAAACAGCCGTTACACTATCCCCGAAATGTTTTACGAAATATTTCTGGAAATATTTCGTGAAACATTTTGCGAAACATTTCTGGAAATATTACGATAAATATAAGCCCCCTAACCAAACCAAAACAACCAATCACGGCGCGGCGGCTCTCGATCAATTTCATGAAACGTGAGAAGTGAGAACTAATTTTTATAACACGGGCTTATATTTATCGTACTATTTTGTGAAACAGCTAGAGGCAATCAAAGTCAAACATTGTGGTGGCTACAGAAAAATAAGTAGACATGGAACAACTGATATGAAAACAGTTACTGATGATAAATTAAATTGGCTATTCCAGTACAGTTACACAAGAATATTTAGTTTTAATCATTGTCTAATATTATTAATTACAATATAGTAAAAAAATACACACACCGGAAAAATCTAGGGATATCATTTTATTAAAGTTAAAAATAAATGTTTTGAATAAACAACCACATATTTGTAGGCCGATTCTTTCTACTTCGATTGAAACGAAGTAGTCACACTAGTTATTTCTAAATTTCGGATATTTGCAGAAGTGTTTGTGCATTTTTTGTCAAATGTATAAAAAGCACCTAGCATCAATTGTTCGAATTTAACCTGTACTGGCTATGTTTTTATGATAACTGGCCAGAATTCATTGAAATAACTCTGTTTAGTATTAAACGACATTATGGAGCGTATACATCTTAACAGAGACGAAATGCTAAAGGCCATGGGTATGCTCGAAGCAGGAATGCGCCAAATCGACGTAGCTAGAGCATTAAATACAACGCAAAGTGTAATATCGCGATTAAGTGCACGCTACCGTGAAAGTGGTGATGTTGTTGAAAGGCACACAGGGCGACATCGCATTACTACCCCTCAGCAAGATCATTTTTTAGAATTAAATACTCGACGCTGACTGACTCTTACAGTACCAAGCTTAGTTAATTCTCCAGGAAATACATAATGTAACCGTTAGTCCTGACACTGTTCGCAATAGATTAAGAGAGATCAACTTAAAAAGCGGACGCCCCTGGAGAGCTCAACCCTTAACGAGAGGAAACCGAGAGGTACGATATTTGTGGGCTCAAGATCATGTTCAGTGGTCGAATGAACAATGGGCCAATGTTCTCTTCACGGGTGAGTCACGCTTTGGAATTCATCAGGATTCGAGAAGGCTTAGGGTATGGAGAGAACCGGGAAATCTTATTCGGTTGGATGTTCAGGAAGTGCACCCTTATCAAGGTGGAACAGTTATGGTCTGGGGAGGAGTCCAGTTAGGCCAAAAAACCGATCTCGTTTTTCTTGAAAAGTTTCTAACAGGAATCACATATCGTGATTTAATTCTTGAGCCTGTCGTGTTACCATATGCCAATGATTTTGGGAGAAACTTCATTTTATACATGACAATGCACGGCCTCATACAGCCAGACTGGTAAGCGAGTTTATCAATGCTCATCAATTAAACATCTTACCCTGGCCGGCACAATCTCCTGACCTCAACCCCATCGAGCACGTATGGGACGCGGTCCAAAGAAGAATTTTGAGAATGGATATGCCTCGTGAAACTCGTAGGGATCTGGTTCGGGCCGTGAATGCAGCGTGGCAGGTTGTACCTCAAGAAGAGATCGACAACCTGATCAGGAGCATGGAGAGACAATGTAGGGCTGTAATGAACAGTAGAGGAGGCCATACCCTTTATTAAGTAAAAATGGTTTTATCTTTTTTTTTTAATTCACAGTTTAGAATAAGAGTTCAATAAAAATCAAGGTAAATTTGAAAAATTCGGTAAATTTCGCATTTTTATTTCCAATACGTCCTGTAAACTATTTGTTTATTTTAATTTTATTATATCAGAAATGCAAATAATAAAATTACTGACGATGGCTGGATAAAATTGTAATATCCCTAGACTTTTCCGGTGTGTGTATATAAAACAGTGACTAACTAGCGATCTACCATTTATCGGCTTATAATCCACGTTATTGCACCTCATGAACAAAATATACACAAAATTATTTAAAAAATCGTCTAATTATTTATTATTTTTGGTTAAGTAACATTTATACTGTAGTCTGTATCAAATTTTAGTTTACGAATTTGGTTACATTGGAAGGATCGGAATGGGTAAACAATATCGATATAATTGCAAGTATCGCCCATCACTATTCCCCGCCTATATTATGATATAAATGTGCAGTCAAAGGGCAATGGATCATCGAAACTTTTTATTAGGAATAAGGTTAAATTATTGATAAACTCTATTCTCATTTTCAACTCTGTTTTAGGAACTTTACCCAAATCCAATTCTATAAAAAACATTTTTTTGTTATTTCAATTGATGTTAAAACACTCACAGTTAACTTAGGCTTATCAGTAGGGATGGGATTTTTTTCCGATGTATAGATAACTATCCATAGATATCGCTGTGTGGGTAATTACTCGACCTTAAAGATCTGTTGTGTGATTGTATCTTGAGTCATCACACAGTCTATAACCCCCTGTTGTAGAGGGAACAGGGTATTTCCCATCCTCCTCTGACAACAGTTCTTCCTCCGAGGGTACAGACCCTTCCACGGCTGGAGTTTGGCCCTCCGTGCCGCCCTTCACAGTGGAGGAGCTTGCCTCCGGCTGAGGAACCCGTGAGGTGGAGGCTGGAGGATCTGTCTCCATTTTCTCCACCTCTTTAACTTGGTCTCTCCTTAGACCTGATACCGGTGTTGTCCCGTATCTATAATAGAGGATATGTCCCTCTTTCTCTATCGACTCCTTGGATTTGAGGTCAATTCCTATTGTGAGGACCTGACCATGACCCTCCTCCCTCGAGTTGATGACTCGCCAACTCGATGTCCTTACAATGTAGTTCTGACCTTTAATAAGGCTCAGCAGGTAGGTGGTGTCTTTCTCCTTTAGGGGTAGCATTTTTTTTTAGTTTTTAGTTAAAAAACATTCTTTGTTGATAAATGGCAAAATTGGTAGCAAATTCAATTTACAGGAATGAATTTCTAGAAAAAATCCAGTAGTAATTGTCAAAATTTTACCAAAAATCATTTTTTTGGAAATTTTCAAAGAAAAGTAACTCGGTTATTTTGAATTTATTTGAAAAACGGTAAAGAGAAAATATGTTTCTTTTATCGAGATCTACCAGCCCTGAAATTATTTGCATTGATTTAAGACTCACTCTATATATGCTATTTTATTAAAATTAGGTAAGGATTTGAAATAGATAAGACATCAATAGTAATATTATACTTGTGTAAAAAATGCGGTATTTGCAACAAAGTAGTGAATTTTATATAGAAATAGGCGACTTTTGGCTGCAGTTTGGGAGTATGTTTATGTAGATTTCAGGTTCCCACTATTATTAGCCCATTTTTTTAGCAGGTTTTGCAACTTAACGCCTCATATTTATCGTAAGTTATCGATAGTAATCGATATATCGATAACTAAAATAATATATCGATAGGTGAATTGCAATGCCTATCGATAGATAAAATCCTTGTATATGGATTTTTAAAGTAGCTCAACCTAAGACGTTTATGGATGTAAAGCACCAGATGGCGGGGCGTATTTCGCGGTCTTTTACTACAGAAAAATATTTTTTGTTACTCTGAATTTTGAAGCGACCAATAAAAACAGAGAAAATAAAAATCGATAATTTTCGGACTGTGCCAATTGGTTACTAATTGACCAGATACTTTTTATCTATTAGATATGCTATAAAAGCTGGTAATTATACAATTCGACCATTGTAAATACCCGACAAATTCCGCAAGGCCGACCAGGCCGATGCTTTTCACTGATAAGAAAAAAAAATGTTTATTTAGATAATTTCCCAGATATTTTTTCTTTCTGAATGCACATTTTTAAAGTATTTTATATTCTTTGTCCGCTTGATCTATTATACTGGTCGCACGTATCGAAGTTCTGTTTCTTCTAGTTTTAAAAAATGTTCTTATTTCTTTGTAGTGGTTGTGGTGTAAAATCAGATTAATTTTATTAAGTTTAATTATAATGTTTAGTGTAGAATACCACCAATAGTTTAGTAGTGTTTTTATAGTTTATTATTTTGTAGTTAAGTAATAGGTGAAGGGATAATTTGGTTATTTTTTCTTTTTGTTTGATTAATTAGTAAGTTTGATAATTTTTTCAGTGTAGAATACAAGAAGTAGTTGTGTAGTGTTTTTATAAGAGATTATATTAGTTTATTTTGTAGATGAGTAGTAGGTGAAGGTATATGGGTATTTTTTCTTTTTGTTTTTCTTCTAATTGTAGTAATTCTATTAAGTATTGTGATAGATACACTATATCTTCCTTCAACTTTGTTGAAAAGTGCATTATCATATAATTTTGGTTTTCTGGTAGTAGAATATACGAAAAAAAAATTTAATCAAATTTATTTTAAATTAAATTAATCGAGTCTTATTAATCAAATTAATCTAGTCAAATAATAATAATAGTTAGTTTCTAAATACTACACAAGGTGAGTTTCCTACGCTGTTCTCTATGGGTATCTCGGAAACTACTGGAGACTGGAGATAGAGAGTCGGTTAAATGGGGAAAGAATTGCAGTTTTGTGGGGTCATAAATATGCGCCTTTCGGATTTTTCGGAGAAGTTCAAGGCTTACTAGATATTTCGAAAAAAACAAATTTTGTCTATTTTAAAACTTTTGTCCCTAATTCCATTATAATCTACCGTATGATCGAATAAAAACTGCGTCAACGATGTCTATGAAATGAAGATCGCTGTCATTTTATATGTAAAATTATATGGGAAATATCATCGATCGTCATTTCATAGCCATCACTGACGCCGTTTTTATTCGGTCATACGGTATTTTAGACAAAAAGTTTTCACATAAAAGTTGTAGATAATCACATATACCTAATGAGTTTGTGTTTTCTGTTGTTTTTTCTAAAGCCTGTCATTTTTGACATATATGACACAAACGTTATGTTTTTTTTTTAAATGGAAACCATAGTTGGCCATGACTTCATAAAAAGCGTCATTTTTTAAGCTTTTCAGCGATATAGGTAGGTATAATATGTTTTTTTCGAAAAATTACAAGTTATAGCCAATTCTTTTCTTTCTTGGCTAATTTCCATACCAATAATACCATGCCAATTAGTTGGCATCAAGAATGTAAAAAGTTTTATGTTTTCAAAAAAAAATATCGTAAAATTCGTAAAGCACTCAATTTAGAATAAAATAATCTAAGAATGAAATTATTCTTTTATAAACCTGCATTAAATCACATTAAAATAGGTATGTAACTTTTTTTAAATATTAATTATTAGCATTTAGCATTATCATAAATTATTATAAATAATGTACCAACATATCGAAATAATAATTTCTTTGTTAATACGGTTTAGAATTCTTAAAATAACAAGCAAAAATAGTCCACAATTTACAATAAAATAAAAGTTTTGTTTAAATTTCTTAATCAGCTGATCACTATTAAAGTTCGCAGAAACCCAGTCTATATTATTACATTACTCTGAGGAAAATAACGAAAATAATCGATATTTTTGACTCCGCCCCGAACGGTTCACGATTTGTCCTCCAGTTGGCAGCACATTTTGTCTAGTCGGTTGAACAACTTTAAGAATATATAAACAAGGGTAAAATCCATTATTGCCCATTCCTACTTATCAGTTTAAAAAAAAATCTGCGTTAGAAAAGCAGGTTCAAAAAAATATTTTGCAACGACTGTGTATTGTCGCTCTCCGTATTTGCCCAGCGTTGGCCTACTGATGATTCTCGTTTTAACCAATTATCTGTCAATAAACGGCTTGATTACAGACCTGGCCAAGGTTACAAAATTATAAATGAACCCATCTTTTAGTTTGTTATTTGTTATTACACTGTACAAGATCTCGTTTTGTTAAAAAACAACCTAACATTGTGTAAGTCTGTTATTTTTATATTAATTCAACTTGTGTGTGTAGATTTAATCAATTCTTATAACTATATACACGAATTAAATGCTTTTTAGATTACATATAGACTAGATAACAGTATAAATTAAACCAAAGTGTGATAGTATTCATCAGTTTGTTTATATGCTTGTCAAGTGAATTTAAAACAAAGCTCGTTTAACTATGAGTGATCCAGGAAGTACTAAAGAAGATTTGAATGAAATTTTAAAGAGTGTGGCTGAAGAACTAAATATAGAAAACTACGAATTGGTGCCGGATGAGACAGGAACCTATGGAGACGGGTTTGCTTCACAGTTCTATACCGGGCAAGTCAAAAATAAGGATACAGGGAAAATTATTAATGTAGCTATTAAAAAATCTCCCCCTTATAAAGAAGTGGATTTTTCTGGGCTTTTTAGAAGCGAAATAACGTTCTACAAAGAAGTGTTTCCACGTTTGAGTTCGCTCCAAAAAGAGCATCCAGCTCTATCCAAACCATTCGATAATATTCCTAAATACTTTTGCTCACAGCTACAACCACTGACCTTCATTGCCCTGGAAAACTTGAAACCCCTCGGTTATACGATGTACGACAAAACAAAAACCCTGGACCCGAGCCACTTGAAGCTTATTTTCACGGTATACGGTAGGTTTCACGCTTGCTCTTTTGTGCTGAAAGAAAATAATCCGGAAGGGTATAAAGAATTGACAGACAAGATAGTTGACGAATTTTCCAAACTACTGAACATAGTTATAGCTCAAATAGAAAGTTCTTTTAAAGGCGCTTTTAGGAGCGTACATGCAGAAACTGAGAAAGATTTGTACGAAAAAACGAAGAATATACCTGATAATATCAAGGAAGTTTTTTTGAAGGCTTATAATTACGATGGAAAGTTCGATTGTATTATTCACGGAGACTGTTGGTCGAATAATATGCTTTTCAAATATACGGTAAGTCTCCTTAATGTACTTTTTAATTTTTTTATTAATAAAATATGTAGGTAATAGTTAGCACTATTTAAAACGGATGTTACACTGTGTATATAGAGTCTTATACAACTATACAGGGTGTCCCAGAAATAAGTGCAAGTATTTTAACTGGTAGTATAGTTCGACCCCAGAAACACGCCCATGATTTTTTTGCAAAAAAAAAATGTTGAAAATTTTATATTTTTTTATATTTTACGGAAAATATTGAAAAACTTTTGAGTGCCGCTTGTTCAGTTTTGGGAAATTTGTTTATAGTGCTTCTAAAGAATGCAATGTTGCCACCAATTTATATAAAAAAAATGAAATAGTAATCTTATTTTAGAAACCTGAAATTGATAACTTTTAGAACACCAGTTTTATAAACACTGTGGAAAACAGTAACATGGATCATACCAAATAAACTTTTAGTCACATGGATCAAGGTTGACCGGCAGCGTTGCCCACTTTTTTACAATTTTTTTTAATCAGAATATTTCAGGAAACAAAAATAAATTAATTATAACTATATAAAAAGTTATTATTTACATCGACAAAAATCACCTCCTTAACAGCACTTAAGGGACAAAATAAGGTCGCGATGAGTTTTTTGCAACGGCTATTAAGCTATCTTGTACACTTCGCAGTAAAGGGGTTCGAAAAAGAACAATGCTCGACTGCAAAGTCTGCTAGTAAAAATGTTTAAGCTTAAATTATCACAACACAATTTATTTAAACTAAAAACTCGTAACCTGAATAATACCACGGAGACTGTTGGTCGAATAATATGCTTTTCAAATATACGGTAAGTCTCCTTAATGTAATTTTTATTTTTTTATTCATAAAATATGTAGGTCATAGTTAGCACTATTTAAAACGGAATGTTACACTGGGTATATAGAGTATTATGTAACTATACAGGGTGTCCCAGGAAAAAGTATTTTAATCGATGGTATAGTCAGACCCCAGAAACACACCCATTAGTTTTGTTGAAAAAAAAATGTTGAAAATTTCATATTTTTTAACATTTTCCGGAAAATATTGAAAAACTTTTGAGTTCCGTTTGTTCAATTTCAGGAAATTTGTTTATAGTGCTTCGAGAGAATGCAATGTTACCATCATTGTATGTAAAAAAATGGAATAGTAATCTTATGTTTGAAACTTGAAATTGATAATTTTGAGAATAATACTAGTTTTATAAACACTGTGGGAAACAGTAATACAGGGTGTCCCAGAAATAAGTGCAAGTATTTTAAGGGGTGGTAGATCTCGATAAAAGAACCGTATTTTCTCTTTCTCGCTTTTCAAATAAATCCAAAATAACGGAGTTATTTTACTTTCACAATTTCCAAGAAAATATTTTATGCTAAAGTTTTGAGAATCGCTGGAACTTTTCCGAATTTCCTTTCTTGTAATTTTAATCTACCTATGTTGCCATATTATCAAGAAATTATGTTTTTTAACTAAAAACAAAAAATATTTCCAAAAATTTTTCAAAAAATTCCGAATTTTCAATTTTTTTTTCGTGAAAAAAAATCCACATAGGCGTGTTTCTGGGGTTGAGTTATACTACCAGTTAAAATCCTTTCACTTATTTATGGGACACCCTGTATATAAAAATTAGTATAATAGCATAGTTTTGAAATCGACGTTTTGCACACGAGTTCGAGAGTTTGTTGGCTAGAGCCGCAGGCAAGAGCCACAAGTCGAACGAGTGTACAAAGAAGTATTCGAGCTAGTTTCTTACGCCATTTTTTCTACGACTACAAATTAGCAGCAGACTCACTCAGTTTTTGCCAGTTTTGTGAAATAATTTGCGATGTAATAATGACACTTTTCTGACGGCTGCGTTGCATTTGGCGTTTCAGCTAAACACTGGTGGTTAAAAATGTTACAATTGGCACATGTCGTGTGCAAAATGACACATGTCGTGCGCTAAATTCTTAGCACACAACAGTTTGCAAAACGCCAATTTCAGATCGAGTTTACCGTGTGTACCAAACTGCATTTTCTAGGCTAGTCGTAGAAAAAAACAATTTTCAAATATTATTTAAAAATATCGAACTTATTCTATTTTATAATAATAATATTTTAACAATGATGATATACCGGGTGTTGCATCGTCGAGCGGGACATAGGAAATCCCATGTAAATTTTAATGGGGTCGATTATTGGCTTCCCAAATTATTTTAGAGAATAATTCTATTTAGGTTTATTGAAGAGCACTAAAACCCACATTCAAAAGAATAACTTTAGATATTTTTGATTAGCCCGTTTACGAGTTATCGCCGATTTCTTTTTAAATATTTCTCCTTTCTTGTGGCCCTGTATTTACTTATGAGCACCAGTCAAGGTAAAAGATAACTATCAAATGAAGTTGTCATTTCAGAAATTTATCTATTTAGTGCTTTATTATTACTGAAAACTCATCCCTACATCGAAAATATTAGCCATGAATTACACTACCGAAGAAAAAGTATTGATGATTAAATGGTATTATCAAGGAAATAGTTATCAAAAGGTGTCGGACATGTTTGCTGCTCTGTATCCGAATAGACCGATACCTGGAAAATCTACAATCGCAAGGAATATCCAGAGATTTGAGACCAAAGGTGCCCTAATAAATAACTGCAGATGTGAAGCAAGGCAGGAACTAAGAGAAGATGCAAGAAATGATACCGACTTGGAAGTTTTATTGTGCGTGGAAGAGAACGATAGAAAGATCAGCACAAGGAAACTTGAGGATGAAATAGGAATAGATCACACTACAGCGTTTCGAATTTTGAAACGACATAAATACTGTTCCTTCAAATATGAAAAGCACCAAGAGCTACGAGATGGGGACGAAATACGGCGACAGGCGTTTTGTTTTGATATGATGGAAAGAGCACACACCGATAGGGAATTTTTAAAAAACATATGTTTCACTGACGAATGCACGTTTACCTTAAATAATGAACCCAATGTTCAAAATTATCGATATTGGAACAAAGAAAACCAACACAGGTTTGTCGAAACAAGGGCGCAATATCCACAGAAAGTAAATGTTTGGGCAGGCACAATATTATCGGGCCATTATTTCTTACACGAAATTTAAATGCAGAATATTATATGGAACTACACGAAAATCATATTTTACCTGCTACATGATGCCGCTAGGGAAAATCAGGAAGTTTGGTACCAAATGGATGGCGGTTTGGTACCAAATGGATGGCGGGCACATAGTACCCTGGCTGTTCGGGAATATTTAGACAATAGTTTTAACGGAAACGTTATTGGCCTAAATCATACGGTAAATTGGCCAGCAAGGTCTCCTGATATTTCGCCAAATGATTTCTTTCTCTGTGGCCATTTAAAAAACAGGATATACAAGGATAAAAAATTCCCAAATCTAGACGAGTTAAAAAATGCTATTTCTGCCGAATGCAATAGAATTTCAGTTTACCAACTAGCGAATGTAAGAAGAAAATTTTATGATCGCCTGGGTTATTGTCTAGCAGTCGATGGAGGAATATTTGAACAACTTCTTAAATCCTAAAGTTCTAACAATTTAATAGTACCTAAATTAATAAGTTATTGAATATTGTAATAATACTATAATTAACCTAGTAATTGATTACTTTATTTTACTTTAATTCATATTAATTTGTATTTATAAATACATCTTTAAGATTTCCGATGTAGGAATGAGTTTTCAATAATAATAAAGCACCAAATAGGTAAATTTCTGAAATGACAACTTCATTTGACAGTTATCTTTTACCTTGACTGGTGCTCATAAGTAAATACAGGGCCATAAAAAAGGAGATATATTTAAAAAGAAATCGGCGATAACTCGTAAACGGGCTAATCAAAAATATCTAAAGTTATTCTTTTGAATGTGGGTTTTAGTGCTCTTCAATAAACCTAAATAGAATTATTATCTAAAATAATTAGGGAAGTCAATAATTGACCCCATTAAAATTTACATGGGATTTCCTATGTCCCGTCCGACGATGCAACACCCGGTATAATAACTAATAACAAACTAATTGTAATTCTTTTGGTAATTTTAGTCTGAAAACGAAGTAGAGGACGTAAAATTGATTGATTTCCAGTTATTACGTACCAGTACTCCAGTCCACGACTTGTCCTACTTCTTTTATTCCGGAGCTTCCAAAAAAGATTTCGACAAACTAACCGAATATCTTCAAATTTATTACAAAAGTTTTGAAGAGACTTGTAAAGAAATGGGCGTAGACGCTAACAAAATTTTCCCCTTCGAAAAATTGATAGAGGAATGGAAGAAGAACGCCCTTTTCGGTGTCCTTATGGGCATATATTTGTGGAACATAAAGCTGCTGCCCAAGGAACGGTTCCAGTTTATGATCAAAGACCAGGACATATCCAAAGAAAAAATAATGCAGATATGGACGGATATGATGGAGGAGATGTATCGCAGCGAAGGTTATCAAGAGAAGACAAAGGCTATTTTAGTACACGCCGTTGAATTTGGTATTATTGATTGAGTACAAACGATTACGCACTTAAAAGTTACTGGTTTTAACTATATAAGCCTATTAGGTTAGTGTTACGTTACAATTTTATTTGATCGAAAGTATTATTACATGCTTCCATTGAGATATGTATAGTTCACATAAAGTGCCATTAAACGATATCAATAGCTCAATTATTAAAGTATTTATTTGAAGGAAATGTGTGATATGAAACAATTTTAACCTGATGATTACACCAAAAGTATTGATGAAATTAGAAACAACCCAGAAAAGATTAATTAAAATAATTATATTTTCTAAAATAAGGTTATTTCAAATTATTGTATTTTTTTGTTTTTATTATATAATTATATATAGTATGTATTGAATAAATATTGATATAGTATCAAATATATTTTTGATTACATAATAAAAGAGTATCAGTTTGGACCACGCAAATGTATCAGTGTGGATCACACAAGGAAAGGTTTAAATTAAGTATAAAATTAATTTTTATACTGAATAAAATAATTCTGCCTTATAATGACCCAATTTTCGTCAATGGTGACGACTGCACGCTCCGTTGCGGCACGTCCCAAAAACCGCCACCCATTTTTCTTAATTTAAATACATAAAATAGAAAACCTCTCATACTGATAATTACTTATATTTGGACCTTGGTATACTAAATTACATTATTGCAAAAGAAAATCAAAAAGACTGTTGCTGTTGAAAATCAAAAAGGTGCCGCTGAAATTTTTGTTTGCGGTTGAAATATGGCAACCTCGGCCCGCTCGTCGATAGACGACGCGACGACGGGACGAGTCGGAAGAAAACCCTATAAGTGCATGCGTTCTCAATAGGCAGTGTTGCCATTCTGTTCCCTTATAAGTAACTGTCCAGTTAACAACCTGTATAACGAGAGTCTGCTTGCCAACGACAACCTAATTGGATATTTGAAGTACGTTTGCATTGTAAATCTGGTTGGGTAGCTCACGAAATATTCACTTTTAGATTTTTGTACTGGATCAATATTTTCTAAGAACTGGAATTGGTAAATAATATCGATATTATTGTAATTCCTGTTGTTATTTCCATCGATATTAAAACAATCACAATTAACTTAGGCTTATCAGTAGGGATGGGATTTTTTTCTGATGTATCGATAATTATCGATAGATATCGCGGTCATTTTATATGTAAAATTATATGGCAAATGTCATCTCATCATTTCCTAGCCAACTGGACGCCGTTTTTTCTTGATCATAGGGTATTTGCATCCTAACTTGATTTATTATACAGAATGAGTTTCAAATAAGTGCAAACGTTTTAAGGGTAGTATATTTCGATTCCAGAAACACGATAATGAGTTTTTTTTGCGATTTTTTTTTAATTTGCAATTTTTTGAAAAACCTTTTTTTTTAATTTTTAGTTAAAAAAACATAATTTATTGATAAAATTGCAAAATAGGTAGCAGATTAAATTAAAAGAAAAGAAATCCAGAAAAGATCAAGACTGATTTGATCAAACTTGATTTATTATACAGGATGAGTTTCAAATAAGTGCAAATGTTATAAGGGTAGTATATTTCGATTCCAGAAACACGATTATGAGTTTTTTTGCGATTTTTTTTTAAATTTGCAATTTTTTGAAAAAACTGTTTTTTTTTAATTTTTAGTTAAAAAACATAATTTGTTGATAAAATTGCAAAATAGGTAGCAGATTAAATTAAAAGAAAAGAAATCCAGAAAAGATCCAGTAGTTTTTGCAAAAATATAAGTAATTGTTTGGGAAATTTTCTATTGGTATGGTCGGCTAAAAATGCGGGATTTGCAACAATGTTTGGGACTATATTTATGTAGATTTCAGGGTCTACTATTATTATATGTCATTAGCCCATTTTTTTCAATTGATAAGGCAGGTTTTGACGCCTCATAATTATCGATAGTTATCGATAGTAATCGATATATCTATAACTAAAATATATCGATAGGTGAATTGCGATACTTATCGATAGGTAACATCCATTATAGCCCATTCCTACTTATCAGTTTAAACCTGCGTTTAGAAAAGCAGGTTCAAAAAAAGATTTTGCAATGACTGTATTGTCGCTCTCCGTATTTGCAGAGCGTTGGCCTATTGATGATTCTCGTTTTAACAAGGTTTTTTTAGTCAAGGTTACAAAATTATAAAGGAACCCAAAGTTTAGTTTGATATTTGTATATATCCCGTTGCGTTAAAAAAACAATCTAACATTGTAAGTGTGTTGTTTTTATAATACTTGTAGATTTAATCAATTCTTATAATTGCATACATGAATCATATGCTTCTTAGATTACTCACATACTAGATAACAGTATAAATTAAACTAAAGTGTGATAATATTAATCAGTTTGTTACCATGCTTGTCAAGTGAATTAAAAAAAAGTTCGTTTAACAATGTGTGATCCAGGAAATATTAAAGAAAATTTGAATGGAATTTTAAAGAGTGTGGCTGAAAAACTAAATATAGAAAACTACGAATTGGTGCCGGATGAAACTGGAAACTATGGAGACGGGTTTGCTTCACATTTCTATACCGGGCAGGTCAAAAATAAGGATACAGGGAAAATCATTAATGTGGCAATTAAAAAATCTCCCTCTTCCAAGGAAGTGGACTTTTCTGGGCTTTTTAGAAGCGAAATAGCGTTCTACAAAGAAGTGTTTCCACGTTTGAGTTCGCTCCAAAAAGAACATCCAACTCTCTCAAAACCATTCGTTAATATTCCTGAATATTTTTGCTCGCAGCCACCACCACTGACCTACATTGCCATGGAAAACTTGCAACCCCTCGGTTATACGATGTACGACAAAGCGAAAACCCTGGACCCGAGCCACCTGAAGCTTATTTTCACGGTATACGGTAGGTTTCATGCTTGCTCGTTTGTGCTGAAAGAACAAAATCCCGAAGGGTATAAAGAATTGACAGACAAGATAGTTGACGAATTTTCCAAACTACTGAACATAGTTATAGCTCAAATAGAAAGTTCTTTTAAAGGCGCTTTTAGGAACGTACATGAAGAAACTGAGAAAGATTTGTACGAAAAAACGAAGAATATACCTGATAATATCAAGGAAGTTTTTTTGAAGGCTTATAATTACGATGGAAAGTTCGATTGTATTATTCACGGAGACTGTTGGTCGAATAATATGCTTTTCAAATATACGGTAAGTCTTCTTAATGTACTTTTTAATTTTTTTATTAATAAAATATGTAGGTAATAGTTAGCACTATTTAAAACGGATGTTACACTGTGTATATAGAGTCTTATACAACTATACAGGGTGTCCCAGAAATAAGTGCAAGTATTTTAACTGGTAGTATAGTTCGACCCCAGAAACACGCCCATGATTTTTTTGCGAAAAAAAAATGTTGAAAATTTTATATTTTTTTATATTTTACGGAAAATATTGAAAAACTTTTGAGTGCCGCTTGTTCAGTTTTGGGAAATTTGTTTATAGTGCTTCTAAAGAATGCAATGTTGCCACCATTTTATATAAAAAAAATTAAATAGTAATCTTATTTTAGAAACCTGAAGTTGATAACTTTTAGAACACCAGTTTTATAAACACTGTGGAAAACAGTAACATGGATCATACCAAATAAACTTTTAGTCACATGGATCAAGGTTGACCGGCAGCGTTGCCCACTTTTTTTACATTTTTTTTTTAATCAGAATATTTCAGGAAACAAAAATAAATTAATTATAACTATATAAAAAGTTATTATTTACATCGACAAAAATCACCTCCTTAACAGCACTTAAGGGACAAAATGAGGTCGCGATGAGTTTTTTGCAACGGCTATTAAGCTATCTTGTACACTTCGCAGTAAAGGGGTTCGAAAAAGAACAATGCTCGACTGCAAAGTCTGCTAGTAAAAATGTTTAAGCTTAAATTATCACAACACAATTTATTTAAACTAAAAACTCGTAACCTAAAAAAGTGTCAAAACGAATAACAATGTCAAGAAATAAATAAATAAATGTGGCAACTTGACATTTTTTACAGCAGAGCTACCACCTGACTCCCCAGCGGGAAATTTAAATTCCAGTTACTGGACCCGGCACCGAATATGTCCATGGTTGGCAACAATGAATTTAAAAATCGCGCCCTCGATTACGTAACTAAAAGTTTAATTGGTAACGCTTATACAGGGTGGCGCACCTCATTCGCCTCGGTTGATTATACGAAAGCGGAAAGATGTAGAAACAAAATATTTTATGGGTATATGTGGAGAGGTAATGTGGCACAATTTAAAATTATTTTGAAATATACAGAGTGTTTCAGAACTAAGATCAATAGCAAAGCATTTTTGGATTCTTGGGCCCAAAAAAAGCCATTTATTGTAAGGGTTAAATATGTTTAAAATCTTTAGTTTTTGAGATATTTAAAAATATTTAAATTTGCATGCTACAATAGAATAGACTTTTAACACCCTGTACATTACTTTTTAGAATTAGTTCTTATACTGAGTTTAAAGGTAGAGAAATAAACTTTACTGAAAAATGATATTGGTTTCTTAAATTTATACAGGGCTATCGAAAGTTGCTGATCTATTTTAAGGATATATTTTATATAAAAACTTCGTTATTTCAAATGCCACACCCTGTATTTTTTTAAATAAATAGAATCAGATTCAAATGCTCTTTCAAACTATATTAGGGTTTCCTATACCTATCTAGATCAGATTTTAAATAAAAAGCGATTTTTAAATAAAATTGCAATCAAGATGGCTGGTGTCGCCATGGCAATTTTCTAGTGATGGTTAGTAACTATTGTCAAAGTCGACATTAGTTTATGGACATTATTATTTATAATTTATAACAGTTTACTTAAATTTACCTACAATAGTTTAATAAGTAAGAAGTAAGTATTCATTACTTTATCAATAAAAATAAATCTGTATCGGCTGGCGGAACGCATAGATATGTTACTAGTGATATTACTTTGTGAGGAAAATTGCTTCTTGGCCTTAAGGGCTTATGCTTAAAGATATCCAAATAAGAATATTCCTGATAAGCATTTCTTTGAAATACTTCTTGTCCTATTTCGCAGAGCTGGTAGTGTGGTTTATAAAAAACCTACTAGGCAGAAACCTGTCGTTGGAAGTGAAGAAAATGAATTTGCCGTAATTGGCTCTTTTATAGAAAATCCATATATCTAAAAGTCATCGTAAAATAATTCAAAGAACTACTTTTTCGTTTTTCTTGATAGAATAATAAACACATATTTAATACATATTATTTATTAAACTATTTTAGGTAAATTAAATAAAAGTAAACTGGTCTAAATTTAAATAAGTCCATAAACTAATTTCGATTTTGAAAATAGCTACTAACGGTCACTAGAAACTTGCTAGGACAAAACTA